CATCAAGCAATGTTTGGTAATATTCCGAAACATAGAAATTTCCGTGTTGCAATGTAAAATATTTTAAAATAAAAATATAATTAAAAATACTATGTTCTACGTTTAAAAAAAAGGAAAGAACTGTGGATTCTAAACCTGTTTGTTCTTTCTCTTCATTTGGATATATATATTTTTACATATATATATATATATATATATATATATACAAATGAGAGAAAGACATATAGAGTAAAAAGTTCGTAGTAGTTACTCTTAAAATAGTGGTCAATGCAAAGTACAGAAAAATATTATTATTATATATTTATTAGAAGAGATTATAATAAAAACATTTGAAACTCCCACAAGTATATTTTTAATTCTAATCTTATGCCCCCACCCACTTTAGCTATCGGAAAAGAGATAACGATTTGTTTTCAAATTTCCGTAAAAAATCATTTAATCACCAGTTACCAACAATCGCCTGAGGAAATACAATCATAGTATTGGAACATGAAAGCGTTTTAAAATGTTTTTATTATAATCGCTTAATATATATATATATATATATATATATATATATATATATATATATATGAAAAACTTTTCAGAGTTAACCTGTAGAAAAAAAAATATTTATAAATGTAAAGACATTAGGAAAACTATAATAGTTTCGTTTCGCCTTGAAAACGTCCACATCGGACGAAACGTGTCGGTAACTATTAGAGTTTTCCTATTGCCTTTTACACACAGATATATATATATATATATATATATATATATATATATATATATATTTAATACGGCCCGTCAAAAATGTGTAAATTTTCTTTTCATTTTTGTTTGGAAGTAAAGTCTGATGATCCGCAGTCCTTTTAAAAGGCTGTGGTGATATAATTTATTACATGGAACCTTAGTGGTCTGTTTTATTTTAATTTTATATATATATATATATATATATATATATATATATATACGTTTCAGTCTAGTAGACCATCCTCAGGGCATATTCATAAAACATAATTAACATTAGACTATATTTAATTCAACATGAAAAGACGATGGACATAAGAGTAAGACTAATCAAAACAGACAAGTGAAATTTTTCAAAATCAGCGTTCCGTTTCAATATGATCACGTCGGCGTCACGTGGGCGATGTTGTGAAACGTCCGACGTTGACATTAAATTAACATTAAAACAGCATAATTGCATATTAGGATTTTTGTTGGTTTTTCCGTATATTTTTCTTATATACTGTCGGATCTATATCCATATATTTGCTTATATATATATATATATATATATATATATATATATATATATATGAATGAGATAAAAGTATATACTTGAAAATATGATATCTTTAAAGGGTTAAAGTGCTCAATATTAGCTATCGAGTATATGTAAATATAAAAGTGGACGCTGAGGTCAACACACAGCGGCGACAGTCTGTTTCATCGTTAATCATTAAACACAGTGTATTACGTCTATTGGCTTGCACATTCGAGAAATGTTAATAGGAAAAAGTGTGTACTCCGTCAGAGATCGAACTTGTGTCCCCCTTTGGAAGAAAAATTTCTGTTTGATCCAGCAAGCTTTACGACTTGGTCATGAAGCACTTGACAGCAAGCAAGGATATTTTTACCCTATTTATGGAAAGTACATTCCCTTCTCTCAGATTATTTTTTCTCAGAAACCCGGATCTGCTCAGTTTCGTATCCTTAATATAATACACAGTGTTTAATAAATAAAAACAGGACGTCTATTTCAAATGAGAAGTGTCCACTATAATGACGTCTGAAGTAATTAACGTGTCAGATTAAAAATAAATCCATTAATTCTTGTGAAATTGCTATGTATTGATTAAGTCTTTTTGAAACGACCAGTGTGTCTTGTTTGTACGCATGTGCAGTCAACAAGAACGTCAACTAACCCAAGTCCGATGAAGATCTAACGGATGAAACGCGTCACAATGTTTTTTTCCAATTTGTCAAACATCTTTTTTTTCAAAACTTCTTGATATATAAAACATTATATAAAAGTTTATATATCGTTAACCCATATATATATATATATATATATATATATATATATATATATATATATATATATATTGATATTTAATTAATTCATCGAGTCTGATAGAAACCTCTACAGAATGCAGGAAGCACTGGACGGCCGTTTTCGTCCTATATTTGGGACTCATATATATATTTCGTCCTATATTTGGGACTTATATATATATATATATATATATATATATATATATATATATATATATATATATATAAAGTGAACATTGAAGTCAACACTTAGAGGCGACAGGCTGTTTCATATCGTGGCCTGACGATTGCATATAGCATGAAACAACCTGTCGCCTCTAAGTGTTGACTTCAATGTTCACTTTATATTTACACACGTTCTATCTCTGATATTGAGCACTTTATCACATAAATATAGCACACCTTAAAAGTATATTTCTCCAAAATATATATATATATATATATATATATATATATTAAGCTTTTCACCCCAAGTAAGGCGGGAGTGCCACTAGCACGCAAGGGGTTACAGAGTTTGGGAGCAAGAGTGAAGATGCGTGAAAGAGGAAAGGATGAAAGAAGGACAGGGAATTAGATCAAGGCATCTGGAGATGTCGATTGACATTGCATTTGAATAGTTGGAGATTATATCTATCAGAGAAGCAAGTAAGAGGAAGGGAGTTTCACAGACGGGAAGTGCGAGACATGAAGCTGTTGGAGTAGAAAAGACAGCTACATTTAACCGTTTCGACAGTGAAAAGGTGGAACTGAGATGCCGACCTAGTGACACGTTTAAATTCATGCAGTTTGGGAACAAGCGAAAATAGCTCGTCGGAGCAGTTACCATGAAAGTATTTGTAGAAAAGACAGAGGAAGGCGATGGCATGTCTCTGAGAGAGCGACTGTAAACGACATGCCAGATCAGGACTAACGACATTGCATATCCGTCTCTGGATTTTGTCGAGGACCCTAAGACAAACACCGGGGGCTCCAGATCATAGATGACAACAATAATCTATACAAGGGCGTATGTTTGATTTATAGATTTGAACGATGGACACGGGCGAGAAAAATTTTCTGGTCGACATAGAGAACCAACTTTCCTTGCGTTAGATGAAACTATTGATTCAATGTAAATGTTCTATCTCAGGTCAGCGGACAGGGTGAAACCAAGAAGACGCAAAGGGGTGCTCTCGTAATTGGAGGCAGGGAGGGTTCTCTGTGGTGGATAATAGAGAGCAATATATATTATATATATATATATATATATATATATATATATATATATATATATATATATTTTAATGATATTTTATTTCAAAATATTTTACATTACATTACGTCACGGAAATTTCTATGTTTCGGGGTTTAAATCTTTTTTATCCCGTCATCAAGCAATGTTCGATAATATTCCGAAACATAGAAATTTCCGTGTTGCCATATAAAATATTTTTAAATAAAAATATAATTAAAAATACTATGTTCTACGTTTTAAAAAAAAGGAAAGAACTGTGGATTCTAAACCTGTTTGTTCTTTCTCTTCATTTGATATATATATATATATATATATATATATATATATATATATATATGTGTGTGTGTGTGTGTGTGTGTGTGTGTGTGTGTGTGTGTGTGTGTGAAAATATATAGGAAATAGGAAGGAACTGGTTAGGTAAATAATCCAAAGTCCCTTAGTATTTTAGTTATTATTTTTAAAAATAGTGCTCGATACAAAAATTTTTGCTGCTTGAAGACGGAACAGAGCTTACTTTAACTCAATTTAATTCAAATAATTATATTGAAGTTTTCGGCTCTTGTTTTGAAACATTAGACCTCTTATGTCGCGAATTAGAATCATATTTTTAAATAAATAATTGTATATATATATATATATATATATATATATATATATATATATATATATATATATATATATATTATAATAAAAGAAAGAAAGAACAGTAAGATATATAATCCGGTGTTCATATTGATATTTTTATTTTTACAAAACAATGCTCAATGTAAATTTACACAGCATAAATATTATAAATTAACTGATTTAAAATATACCATGAAGATGAAACAGAACTAATGTGTTTAATTTAACTATATAATTAAATTTGAAGTTTTTTAGCTTCGGTTTTGAAACATGGTAATTCCTGTGTAGCGAAGAAACCATATTTTAAACCAGTTAATTTATAATATATATATATATATATACATGTATGTGTGTGTGTGTAAAGAATTAATGGATTTATTTTTAATCCGATATTTATTACTTGAAACGTTATTATAGTGGACGCTTCAGATTTGAAATAGACACCGCATTTATAGGTGCTGTTTGGGAGTATCTTATTGGGAAAAGACCCCCTGAGAAGCAAAATGCGGTTCATACATACACCAAATTATATACACAGCCTATGTGCATTCATACATAGGATTTCGATTTCTGGATCAGGTGAACTAGCGAGAGTGCAAGGTATCACGGATAAAGAGCTGTATTTGGCTATTCTTAGATATAATATAAAACAAAGCTGTCTTTGGGGTGTCACTGGACGTTCAAACATGACAATGGCCCGAAAAGAAAAAGCACAAATTGTTACAAAATACTTAAATGACATACCCCGCACAAAGCTCTGGCCTAAACCCCATTGAAAATTTATGGGCATAATTCAAGAAAATAAGTAAGAGAAAGAAGTCCTTCAAGTTTGCAGGAACTAGAAGCTATTGCCAAGGAAGAATGGAGCAAAATCGCTATCAGTGTGTTTAGTGATCTTGCAAGGATCTATAAAAAATGATTAAAGGCAATAATCAAGAATAAAGGTTACATCATTGATTATTGAGGCAAAACGGCCAGTAACTTTTTCCTATGTTAAACGTCTTTTGGTGTTTTTTGTATTATTTTTTTATATTAAAATAAAATAAAAATGTTCTGGGTATCGCTGCACATTATTTTATAGGTGTTACAGATTTGTTTGTAATTATGGAAGTGTGGTAAATAATTCTGTCCGTAGATAGATAGATAGATAGATAGATAGATAGATAGATAGATAGATAGAAGCAGACTGGGATAGATAGAGAGATAGAGAGATAGATAGATAGATAGAAGCAAACTGAAATAGATAGAAGCAAACTGAGATAGATAGATAGATAGATAGATAGATAGATAGATAGATAGATAGAAGCAGACTGAGATAGATAGATAGATAGATAGATAGATAGATAGTTGCAGACTTAGATAGATAGATAGATAGAAGCAGACTGAGATAGATAGATAGATAGATAGATAGATAGATAGATAGATAGATAGATAGATGCAGACTGAGATAGATAGATAGATAGATAGATAGATAGATAGAAGCAGACCGAGATAGAATTTGACGTTTTGCTATTTTATGTAATTCCCTTATCAAGTATGTTTAAAGTTAGAATTTTTATTTCATTCTACTTAACCTTCCTATGAAGATAAATGTCAACAAATAGAAAAAAAAAAGCAATAATATGTTCATTAAATACAAACCACTGAATGTTCTACACGTATTTGCGCATGCGTGTGTTCTATTTGAATTTACGCATGAGCGTATACATCTCGCTCTGTTCGCCATTACGAAAAAAAGCCAGTCCTTGTTGCAAAAGGTTTTAAGGAAATTGACGTTTTAAACCGATAAGTGTCAGCATATCTAACTTGATTAAACCGTTTTCGTAGAAATGCTAAATACACCAGTTTCAATGGGCTCTGTATGGGTGCATATTTGTATGAGTTTCTGGGCGTGTGTCTGGGAGTGGAGCTTGAGGAAAAATGGCCTCTTATTCCGAAACGTTGCCGTAAAGTCTGTTTAATTTGGATGAAGGGAAATGATGGAGGCAAATTTCGATGAAAAATGTAGCGAAGTAGAAAAATCGAGGGTTTGGAGTGGAAAAAGAAATAAAGCGAAATTGAAGAACGACAGGATGAAATAAACAATAGAATTTGAAGACGAAGGTGGTGATGATGATAATGGCGATCGTTGATCAAGGTGAATGTCAGAAGAAAAAAAAAAACCGAAAGAGAAGAATTTCGAAGGCAGAAATAAAGAAATTGTTATATTCCAATATCCTCGCACCACAGTTGTGGCCCAAGGTTAGAACCAAGGAAGAACAACACAAACACAAGAGTAGAATAAAAAAGATATATTACAACAGAAATATAGTACAAGAAGTTAAAGTTGTTAGTAATGACTGTCCGTCTAGTTTACAATGAACTAATATTGTCTCGATTCGTTACACCATTCATTAGGTATCTAGCCACCCACCCACGAGGGTTGCATGTGGCACAAGGCCGAGTTTAACGTGGGTTTCCCGAGCCTGTAGGCTCGGCAAAAAATATACCCTTTGAACCCGCCTAGATGGGTTCAAGACCTGTCTACCTCCCCGGACGAAACCCTGCCCTTCGGCAAAGCTTCGTCCGGGTTCCTCTCTGCCAAAGCAGAGAGTTCAACAGTCATGACCTGGTGCTCGTTACACCATTCATTCATTATACCTCTTGAGAGGCGCATTATTTATAGTGTCAGGAAAAGTCCATTATCGTTATAAGTAAGTTCCCATAACAGAAATAAAATAAAATAAAAGTGATAGATAGATTGATAGAAGCAGACTGAGATAGATAAAGATAAAAGATGAAACTTGAAGCAACAGAAACAAACAAAAGAGTTCTGAACTGTTTTGTGATATCAGTCTTCCTATATGTCGGGGAATGATGAACAATCTCCTCAAAGATGAAGGAGAGACTTGAATCAACAGAAACAAAGGACGGTGTACTGAATTGTTACGTGAAATCTGTCGTTCTATATGGCCGTGAATGCTCGACAATCTCCTCATAGATGAAGAGACTTGAAGCAAGAGAAACAAAGAAAAGGGTACTGAACTGTTACGTGATATCAGTCCTCCAATGTGGCAGTGAATGCTGGACAAACTACTCACTGATGAAGAAGAGACTTTAAGCAACAGAAACAAAGAAAAGAGTTCTGAACTGGTTTGTGATATCAGTCTTCCTATATGTCAGTGAACACGGGACAATCTCCTCACAGATGAAAAGTAGACTAGAAACAACAGAAATGTGGTTCTAAAGATGGATACTGAGGATACCATGGACCAAACATGTTAACAATGACGAAGTTCTCGAAGCAGTGGAAACAAAAAGAACACTTACACTTAACATCAAGTAGAGACAGCTGAGATTTCTGGCGGACATAAAGACGAAGAGGTCTTATAAAATTTGAAGCAACAGAAACAAAGAGTACTGAACTGTTACGTGATATCAGTCGTCCAATGTAGCAGTAAATGCTGGACAATCTCCCCGCAGATGAAGAAGAGACTTGAAGCAACAGAAATAAAGAAAAGTGCACGGAACTCTTACGTAATATCAGTCCTCTTATATGGCAGTGCATGCTGGACAATCTCTTCACAGATGAAGAAGAGACTTGAAGCAATAGAAACAAAGTAAAGAGAACTGAACCCTTACTTGATATCAGTCCTCCCGTATTGCAGTGAATGAATCGAGAGATTGGAGTAGGAAAAGAAATAAAGCGAATAAAATAAAACAAAATAATAAATAAATAATTAAATAATAATAAGATAAAAATTGAATTAATGAAGGAAAGCGTGAAGATAAAAACTAAACACCAATTGTAAAAATGTATGGATCTCAATAAAAAAAAGGAATAGCCCAACATGTAAATTTCAAATTGGGGATATAAAAATCAAACAAGTACAATAATTTAAATATCAGTGAAATGTTTTAAGAGAGAGCGAAAAATGGGACAGAGAAACCAAGGACCCACTGGGATAGCGAAAGATACATTCCAAAGCCTAAGCAGAGTATTAAGAAACAGGAAAAATTCGTGAGAGTACTGAACTGTTACGTGATATGAGTCCTCCAATGTGGCTATGAATGCCGGACAATCTCCTCGCAGATGAAAAAGACAATTGAATCAACAGAAACAAAGAGTACTGAAATGTTTTGTGATATCAGTCTTCCTATATGTCAGTGAACGTTGGAAAATCTCTTCACAGATGATGAAAATACTAGAAGCATCAGGAATGTGGTTCTACAGATCGATGCTCAGGATACCATGGACCAAACATGTTTACAATGGTAATGTTAACCTCGAAGCAGTGGAAACAAAAAAACACTAATACCTAACATCAAGTAGAAACAGCCGACAATCTCCTCATAGATGAAGAAGAGACTTGAAGCAACAGAAACAAAGAGAAGAGAACTGAACTGTTACGTGATATCAGAAAGAAAGCTAATAAAATAAAATAAAATAATAAATAAATGATAAAATGATAATAAAATAAAAAAGTAACTTAATGAAGGAAAGCGTGAAGATAAAAACTAAACACCAATTGTAAGAATGTATGGTTGTCATAAAAAAAAGGAATAGCCCAACATGTAAATTTCAAATTGGGGATATAAAAATCAAACAAGTACAATAATTTAAATATCAGTGAAATGTTTTAAGAGAGAGCGAAAAATGGGACAGAGAAACCAAGGACCCACTGGGATAGCGAAAGATACATTCCAAAGCCTAAGCAGAGTATTAAGAAACAGGAAAAATTCGTGAGAAACAAAGAAAAGGGGACTGATCTGTTACATGATATTAGTCCTCCAATGTGGCAGTGAAAGCTGAACAATCTCCTCAAAGATGAAGAAGAGACTTAAAGCAACAGAAACAAAGAGTACTGAACTGTTACGTGATATCAGTCCTCCAATATGGCAGTGAATGCTGGACAATCTCCTCAAAGATGAAGAAGAGACTTGAAGCAACAGAAACAAAGAGTACTGAACTGTTACGTGATTTCAGTCCTCCAATGTGGCAGTGAAAGCTGAACAATCTCCTCAAAGATGAAGAAGAGACTTGAAGCAACAGAAACAAAGAGTACTGAACTGTTACGTGATATCAGTCCTCCAATATGGCAGTGAATGCTGGACAATCTCCTCAAAGATGAAGAAGAGACTTGAAGCAACAGAAACAAAGAGTACTGAACTGTTACGTGATATCAGTCCTCCAATATGGCAGTGAATGCCGGACAATCTCCTCAAAGATGAAGAAGAGACTTGAAACAACAGAAACAAAGAAAAGAGTTCTGAACTGTTTTGTGATATCAGTCTTCTATATGTCAGTGAATGCTGAACAATCTCACAGATGAAGAATAGACTAGAAGCAACAGACATGTGGTTCTACAGATGGATGGTGAGGATACCATGGATCAAACATGTTAACAATGACGAATTTGCCGAAGCAGTGGAAAGAAAAGAACACTTACACTTAACATCAAGTAGAAACAGCTGAAAATCTCCTCATAGATGAAGAAGAGACTTAAAGCAACAGAAACAAATAGTGAACTGTTACGTGATATCAGTCCTCCAATATAGCAGTGAATGCTGGACAATCTCCTCATAGATGAAGAAGAGACTTGAAGGAACAAAGGAAAAGAAGAGTACTGTTACGTGATATCAATCCTGTATGGCAGTGGATAAATCGAGGGTTTGGAACAGGAAAAGATATAAAGCTAAATATAAGAATGGCAGCCTTAAATAAACAATAGAATTGGAAGGTGATGATGATAATGGCGATCGTTGATCAAGGTGAATATCAGAAGCAAAAAAAACGAAAGAGAAGAAGAATTTCGAAGGCAGAAATAAAATAAAATAAAAGAGATGATAGATAGATAGATAGATAAATAGATAGATAGATAGATAGATAGATAGATAGATAGATAGATAGAAACATACTGAGATAGATAAAGATGAAAGAAGAGACTTGAAGCAACAGAAACAAAGAAATGACTACTGAACTATTACGTTATATCAGTCTTCACATATGGCAGTGAATATTGAACAATCTCCTCGCAGATGAAGAAGAGACTTGAAGCAACAGAAACCAAGAAAAGAGTCCTATCTGTTACGTGACATCAGAACTCCTATATGGTAGTGAATGTTGGACAATCTACTTGAAGATGAAGAAGAGACTTAAAGCAACAAAGAAAAGTGTACTGAACTGTTACGTGATATCAGTCCTCCTATATGGCATTGCATGCTGGACAATCTAATCGCAGATGAAGAGACTTGAATCAACAGATAAAAAAGGCTACTGAAATGTTACGTGATATCTGTCCTCCTATATGGCAAAGGTGAAGCAGAGACTTGAATCAACAAAAATGTGGTTCTGCAGAAAGATGCTGAGGATGCAATGGAACGAATATATGAGCAACAATGAAGCTTTAGAGAAAATCAGCTTACGGCCATATCACCTTGAAACACCCCTACGATCAATAAAGTTAAGCAACGTCGAACCTGGGCATCATCTAGCTTGGATGTGCAGGTGGTGTAATGGATAATGACTCCGAATTGTTAATCGGAGAACCGAGTTTCAAATCCAGTTGGGTTCGTTTTATTCACTAACGCGCAAATACCTTTGGGAAAGGTATGAATCCACCTCTTCTCCCCTCCAGTAATAGGTTAATTAGTAGGATTATATCACGTCTTCATCTGTGATGAAATTGTCCAGTATCCACTGTCATATAAAAGTCATAATTGTTACTACATATCTATTCAGCGCTTTATTTTTTTCTAATACGTAACAACAGGTATTGCTGGGTTTTTAGTAGCTTCAAATTTATGATTTTGCTTTTAAATCAACCTTATTTATTAGAGCAATAAAAACCAGACATTAAAATAAACAAAAATCAATTTGTAATAAAAATATATATATATATATATATATATATATATATATATATATATATATATATATATATATATATGTACACAGTAGCGTCCAAAACTAAGGGACAAAATTTTAAAACTTAATATTTATTAGAAATAACAACTGTGAAAAGATGAAATTTTGACAACTGGTAGTCGTTATCATCCATAATAACATACTAAAATTTGAATCATTTGCAAAGGATAGAAAAAGAAGTATAACAATTATTTATTTATTTTCAAATTTAGAACGTCCATATCAAATATGTGGTGCAGTTCAATTTATATTACAATGAATCATTCATACGAAATGTAGATTAGTAAAGTTAATGATATAAAATGGCGAAATCCTTTCGCAAACAAAATTTTAAAGGTGCATTAACCTACAAATCACCCGTATTTTTAAAATTATAAACTTTCGCAAGTACTTTCAACTGTACATTCAGTCATCCTCAGACATGGATATTATTTTGATTTTTACCCTGAAGACCCGTTTAGGTGAAACCTAGGTAGGTTTTCCAGGCTCTTTAGGATTTATTTTATTTATTCCGGCCCGGCTCTACTTAGCGTATTGAGCAATCTACGTTTTAACTTTACTGCTCGTTTGGGATTTTTTTTGGGGGGGGGGACTAAAGACTTATGGCACTGGACCATATGTTTCGTCCTGTTCAAATGTTTTTAGTTCTTACTTTTTTTTTTCCAATTGTTTTTCTCGGGTACAGATTTGTTTTGACAAATCTACAAGTTGTGCTTTTTTATATATATATATATAATAGGATAAAGAACAAGTCCGAAAGAGATCTTAATCTAACATGTTTCACTTTATTAAAGCTTCGCCAGAGATTAAGATAGAAATTATAAAAAGCAAAGAGACGCAGATTAATGGTATATTGTGTTTGGTTAGTTCCTATTGGTTAGATACGTGTCACGTGTAATGAAGTAACAGATAATATTTAAATATGTGTGGCAAACATTCTCGACGCTAAAGCGAGTAAAAATTAGTAAGATGCAGTAAGATGTTTTGATTGGGTACATGTCACATGTAACAGACAATATTCAAATAAGTGTAAAAAAACATTCTGGAAGCTAAAGTGTGTAAAGGTTAGTGAGACGCTGCAGGATGTTTTTAAAAAATTCGTGCATATTTTGTATATATATATATATATATATATATATATATATATATATTGACTTTTATGTATACGAAATATCTAACCAATCAAAATTTTTATGTATTCGGAAGAGATAAGTTAAATTCATGAGTAACGGATCTATAGAAAAATAGTGATGCAATGTAATTTTTAAACATGTTTTAATATTTCTTAATATTGCTATAAATATATTTTCTTTCAAAGAGTTATGTTCTTTTTTGATAAGATCAGCACTGGTGAGATTACAATTATGTCCTACGTTGTTGCGGTGTAAGACGAGAGAATTTGAATGTTTATCTAGACGCAAATCTCTTTTGTGTTCCTGAATGCGGGTCTTTAGATCACATGATGTCTCCCCAATGTACATGTTATTGCACTGTAGACATTTAATTTGATAAACTCGGGAATTTGAATATATATATATATATATATTCGTTTCGTCCGTCGGCTTTAGCTCGTCTCCAAGAATTTAATTTCTTCTTTCCTGATCGCTTCCTTTATAATGTTTGCTTTGATGACTAAGTAAGCCAGTTCTTGCATGAAAGAGTCTATGGCACTGACAGCATCGTAATGATGGCGGAGGGCGAGATCGATTTTATCGAAACTTTCTCTCTTATCGTTTAACTTCTTCCTTTTCTCTTCTGGTGCCTTGAAGTTTTTGGTTCCGATGATGATGAAAGGTTGTCAGTTGATATGGTCTTGCGCATGTCTTTCAAACAATTTAGGCTCAAGTCCAGTGACTTTTAGTGTTACTTTTAGTTGACCCTTGTATCTTCGAAGAGATCAACTCCATAGACTTTTCCCTAAAGTGAGTTCACTGAATAATATTTGACGTGGAAACTTTGATTCTTCCATTCTTGCTACATGTCCTGTTTCTGTCTTTCATGATCAGAGATTCGATGCTTTGACATTTGTCTCTTTCCAGGATTAGGGTGTTGGTCACATAGTAATTCCATTTGATGTTCAAGATTGAACAAAACGTTTGCTAGTGAAAGCGTTCTAAATTTTGGACGCCGCGTCGATATAGAGTTCAGGTTTCACAGCTCTATAGAAAAGTTGACATGTAAATTGATAAATTGGCAATGTAATGATTAAAATAAACTGATCCTCTCTCATGAGAGCAAAAATCGACCACAAAAAACAAAAACAAGCCAAAAAACAATTTATAACAAAAAATAATATTATTATTATTATTACTGGACAAATCACCCCTACGTTCCGCTTCGACACTCGTTTACGTCGATGTGAACAACCCTTCACCCAAAGAACAAAAACTGGTAAATGGAAAGTGAAAGTTGACCAAGAGCACACCCCACATCAAAAATACCTTGTTACGAAGGAATTTCTTCAGACTAATAATGTTTTTTCATCGATAGAGTCAAATATATATACACTCAGAGGTCATTTTATTAGATATACTCTTGCAAAACCAATTCCTGATGTTCTGGAAATAAAACGTTCAGAGTTTAGGTTCATTTTAGATCAGTTATGTCATCTCATAATTCTGCTAGATTGCTTGGATGCCCATCCAGGATTCAAATCACGCTTCCCAACACATCCCAAAGGCACTCAATGATATTGTTTGAGTTTGGAGGCCATTTTAACACAGAAAATTCATTGCTCTGTTCCGTAAACGCATTTGCCACTATGACACAGACACTGTGCTATTCTAGGGATTAGACATTTCCTGTATATGTAAACACAGAGCAAGTGCTGTCCCAGTCTTTCAACGATTGGACAAATCACCCCATTGTTGTGTTTCGATTCTCGTTTGCGTCGGCATAAAACTAGAGACGATCATATGTACGTTCAGAAGGGAATCGAAAGTGAAATAACACCCAACGAGAAACGTAAACACGAATCCTGTTTCCCGATTATATTTAGTTACTTACTGACAGAATCCGTTGAGACAGTATAGATTGGGGACAGATAAGAGATACTTGGGACATCTTCGATGCTATTTCTGTCTTCTCTCGGGACAATCTTATACAGGGTTTTTTCAAACTGTGGGTCCTGGCCCTTCAGTGGGTCGCGAGATAGATAAAATGGGTCGCGACCCAAAAAAGAAAAAAAATGCGCAAGTGAGAGCAAAGTACAATAAATAAACAACTCTAAATGTTGCACAGCACTCATCGTTAGTTTTTAACCGAGGTAAGCTCATATTATATATATATATATATGTGTGTGTGTGTGTGTAGTCTGTTCTCATTGAGTTTATGTATTTTGTTCGTCGAACTCGTTGCGGACTGAGTGACGTCAGTTCTCTCCCACAAAGAGACAGCGCGCCAAAACTAAGGTACGAAGATATGAAGGGCTTTCGACTTCGTGGCCGGTGAAAGCCGTTAAGATTTACATAATGCTAGGCCACAAAAATCTCCTGAGCCGACCAAGCATAGAAATGAATACAATATAGGAACCAGTAATAAGGAGTGCCAGAGGAAAGCAATAATAACAACAAAAATTGCAATATGAGCTCTGGTAAAAATATGAAATGATAACAGCAAAAAAAAAAAAATTACAATATAAGTACAGGTAAAAAATTGTTTCTGAAACATTAGTTTTATAATAACCAGAAATTCATACACAGATCTCCTCAAGGACACATGCACAGTGGATAAAGGCGTTGATTAGATCCAGTGACAGGACGCAAAGAGTGTGAGTTCAATACCCGTTTAAGGCAGTGGAGAACTTGGAAAGAGGAATTAACAGGAGATAACTGATAACTGACATCCATTAAACATTCAGCTCGACATTCCAACCACCTGAAGAAGGCCGGAGCGTACAACGGCCGAAACCTTGTAATAAATATGGCGACAAAGATGAGGACAATAGTCGGAATAATGTAAATAGTGTACATAATACCTCATTAAGATTGTTGAATAAATCAGTTGCATCCTCTAAAAGTGAATTTTCCGGCCGACGTCTACTACCAGTGCATCTTTTCTGAGGTAGTAATATGATGTTTTGCGTTTCATTTTTCATTTAACGAAAAGACATTGCACCTGATATGCGTGTGTAGCACCGTTTTCCTGTGTTCTCAATTGGAACCAGCTGCTTATAAACAGACACTCACATCCATCTCATTAAATGACATTTTTTTTAAAAATATCATTAACTTTAACTCGGAAAATCGTTTAAATTTGTTTTTTCTAAAAGTAATAATTTTATATTCATACAGATAGATAATACAAAGACAGTGAAAGCTGTAAAGATTGTTGAATAATTCAGTTGTATCTGAAGTCAAGACTAAAAGTTAATTTCCTGATTCAATGTCAAATTCGAGGACCGATACATTCTTTCTTTGGTGATAAGATGTGTCGTTTCCATTTGAAGTCTTGGAATTTTTGGTGAATTGGCTGTTGTTTCAGCAAAATTTTAGAATGGTCTAGTTTTTCTTTAAGTGATAATTTTATATTCATACACATTAGATAATACAAATAGATAAATGCAATTCCAATATGTGTGTATCATTAAAAATCTTACTTATTATAAAACGCAGATTGTGTGTGTGTGTGTGTGTGTCTGTACGTTTATATATTGGATCGGATTTCCTACATTTTTCAACCGATTTCAGCAAAACTTTACAAGACTGCGTAAAATTACCTTGCGGTGGTTCTGGCAGCGCCAAACATTGGAAAAACATAATTGTTTTTGAACGAAAACAATTTGGAAACACGATACTGTCGCCAGAATGAAAGGGGGACAACTCATATCGAGTTATACTTATAAAACCCAGGTTGTGTGTGTGTGTGTGTGTGTGTGTGTGTGTGTTCGTTTAAATATGGGATCGGATTTCCTACATTTTTCAACCGATTTCAACAAAACTTCAATTTTTTTTTGGCAGGTAGTGTTTCTTATTGTCTTGCACACTTTTTTCTTTATTTTTACATTCAGAATGCTTTAAAAATTCCATTTACAAGACAATTGTTTATAATAAAATTCTATTCAATCGATAGACTCATAACGATTGAAAACAATGTCTTTGAGTTTGGGTTTGACCAATTCATAAAAAACAAAAAAAAACTAATTGAGACATGCGTGTCCGTCAACCTTAAACAATAATCTTTGTCAATTTTATTTTTCAGTCTTTATGATGGTCGATACTTGATCTATCTCTTACTGTTACATCCCCGGGTAACGCCGGGTTCTACTGCTAGTATACATATAAATTGTCGATGTTAAATAAATGAACCTAATGAATAGAGTTTGTCTTTGATTTATTACATGTAGGTATAATGGGCACTATTTACATTGTTCAGACTATTGTCCTCATCTTTGTTGCCATATTTATCACAACGTTTCAGCCGTTGTACGCCCCGGCCTTCTTCTGGTGGTTTTACCAGAGCTCATATTGCAATTTTCGTTATTGTAAAAAACATGGAATCATTAAATATTATTTACTTTAGATTTGTGTCGGAATTTCCTTTAAATTTGTTTTTCTTTAAGTAATAATTTTATGTTCATACAAATAGATAATACAAATAGATACATGCAATTCCAATATGTGTGGATCATTAGAAATATACATATAAATAATGTTAAATAAATGAACCCAGTGAACAGAGTTTGTCTTTGATTTATGACACGTACGGTAATTCCTTATGTATAATACGCATTTTTTCTAAATTATAATCAGAGGTGCAACACGCAGAACTGCAATGCACAACTACAAAAATCTGTAAAAAAATTGCCGTTTCATAGACTACTCACCACAAACATGAAAATTTGATACTAACATTCGACAATTGCGACCTTATAATGGTGTCAAATACAATCATATGTACCTAACAATACTTACAAATGTAAAATAAAATAAATATTAGCATAAAACTAAATTAGAATAATATTATTCTATGTTTAAAACCATTTTTTTAAATAAGAGTAGAAAACACTAGCCGTAATGAAATTGAAGAGATACAATTTATAGGGTTTGATTAGCAAAAAAGGGGTGCGTATTATGCGTGAGTAGAAGTATCTTCCCACACTTTCAGTGCAATTTTACCGGTGCGTATTGCGGATGAAGGCGTATTATACATGGGGAATTACGGTAGGTATAATGGGTTGCAATGCAAAATGTGGTTCTTGCCGTGGGTTGTAGTAAAAAATAGTTTGATAACTCATTAACTGCTTGCCTTATTTTCACTGACTCGATGCGGTCCGGAGATAAAACTCGCAATGTCACCGAATTCACAAAGCAACATTTTAATTTTGTGGGTCACTGTGGGAAAATAAGGGATCAGTACGCAATAAAATAAGTGATCATTACTCAATAAAAACGAGACAATATATCCCGAGACAGGGACAGCGGAACTAGAACACTGTAAACAGTAGATTTGGATAAAGGGTTCAATTCTGAAGAAGGCCGAAGGAAACAACAGTCGAAACGTTGTGATAATACGACCAAAGATTAGGTCTGTGGCCGTCGGAATGTAAATAATCTCAGTAATTAATTCTCGTAGTATTTTTTTTTTTGTATTAGCCGACACAGCTGCCTTTTTCCACAAGCAAACGAATTACGTAAGTATCGTAAAATGATAGAAGTTCTCGCGGACGCCGAGAACAGACGAGTTGATAGGATCCATTTCTATCAGTTTTGCTCATACAAAGATCAAGGCGATGCCTCGCCTCTCATTCTTCATTTACGGCTCGATGAATCGTGAAATTAGAATAAGCGCTAGATTACTGGACCTTCTCGATAATAAACATTGCAAAGATGGCAGAGATGAATCGTGTCACGTGATGCCCAATCATTCACGATAAAAGCCAATCAAATTAAGACATAACAAAAAAAGACAAATAATTGCATCTATCGACGCATGATAAGGTCACTTGAGCCAGCCGAATACGGCTTTGTACTATTCATGGAGGCAGACAGTAAATAATTAAGTTGCTCGATTAAGAGAATTTACAAATCGGTAAAATTCTATTTAAAACAAATTTTCGTATATAAAAATGAATTTGAAATTTAAATGCATTTAAGATGGTTTAAAAGAAAAGCCATAGTTAAATGGTGAAATTTTTGCTAATGCACTTTCATAAAATTTGGTTTGGTTTGTTTTACGGCATATCAACCTAAATGGGTTATTTAATGCCGACAATGTAGCCGAAAGACTTAACTGAATTTCTGTAAAATAGAAACTCAATTAGTTTAGTGTTTTTTTTTTTAGATATTAAACGTTTTGTGAACAATTATGCTGTTACACCTGGTGCATATATATATATATATATATATATATATATATATATATATATATATATATATATATATATGAAAAAATATACGGAAAAACAAACAAAAATCCTAATATGCAATTATACTGTTTTAATGTTAATATAATGTCAACGTCGGACGTTTCGGTCTAATAGACCATATTCAGGACATATTCATAAAACATAATTAACATAGACCATATTCAATTCAACATGAAAAAGACGATGGACATAAAAGCAAAACCAATCCAAACGACGTGATCATATTTAAACGGAACGCTGATCTTATAAAAGATTTCGGTTATTTGTTTGGGTTGGTCTTGCTTTTATGTCCATCGTCTTTTCATGTTGAATTGAATATGGTCTATGTTAATTATGTTTTATGAATATATCCTGAAGATGGTCTACTAGACAGAAACGTCCGACGTTGACATTATATTAACATTAAAACAGCATAATTGCATATTAGGATTTTTGTTTGTTTTTTCCGTATTTTTTCTTATTGTCGGATCTATATCCATATATATATATATATATATATATATATATATATATATATATATATATATATATATATATATATATAGTCTTATCTGAATCTTACCCATATAGACCGGTTTATACTAAGTTTAATATCCCCAACAATTTTTCTTAACTAGAATGTTATGAGATGGCTCCAGTCTATAAACGTATAATCAATTTAATTTGGCAGTATGCAAGTTTCCATGTTTCGTATAAGGAACTAATTTGGTTCAATTAACGCAGCTGGTGGGTACAAGTAAATAGATGACCCTAGAGTAGACAAACTTGTTCAGAATAAATTAAATTGTGGCTTGTAGACTGTACGAATGAAATAATAGTGCATAATTCCAAACATTACCCCGAACGCTTGTCACCTTCTGACCTAATCCAATCGACATCCAAAAGTTAGGCCGACGGATAAGCAAAACCAAAATATCAAAATAAAACGGAGGGCTGCAAAATAGGCACAAGAAATCTCAGTGGATATGTGAAACGGAATGGTCAAATGCATACACGTCTCTAATCTGTGGAATCAATGAGATACCGGGTGTAACTACAAAATTGTCCCAATCGTGTAACAGCAAAATTGTCCAAGCCGTGTAACAGCAAAATTGTCCAAGTCGTGTAACAGCAAAATTGTCCAAATCGTGTAACAGCAAATTTGTCCAATTGTTAGATTAAGCTTTAAACCGTCGTATCTTTGTGATGTAATCCAGGGAAGGTTACTGAATAGAATAATCACACAAAGGTTGGTAATGAACGATAATACTTAGAACAAGAACAACACATATAAGATTCGCAAGCGGCGCGTAGAAGTAGTTAACTGCTAGAAGAGAGTCAAATGGATTCCACAGTGAATCACCAACAGGAGACCAACATACAGTATTTGCTACTGTATTTATGTGAATGTGAGCATACCCATTATCGTCTGTAGGTATGCTACAACAGCGCCGAAGTTCAGCTTGCCCGGGGTGCCAGCAACTCAGGAAACGTTACTGTTCATACCCCATCCAAGTGAATATAACAAACCCACCTGAAACCGAAATACCACCCTCCGATTAAGAACTCCGAGCCATTATTCTTCCGTACATCCAAGTTTACAGCAACTGATATTCCAAAACGGTAACCCATCTAGGTACTAAACGGGCTCGACGTTGCTTAACTTTAGTGATCGTACGGTAACTGGTGCTTCAACGAGATGTGGCCGTAACCCCATTAAGCCATCTGTACATCTAGGCTTACAGCACCTGTTATTCCAAAACGGTCAGGCATCTCGTTATTAAACAGAGTATACGTTGCTTAACTTCGATGATCGTACGGGAACCAATGTTTCAACGTGATATGGCCGTAAGCCCATTATGACATCTGTACATCTAAGCTTACAGCACCTGGTATTCCCAAGCGATTACCCATCTAGGTACTAATCAGGCTCGACGTTGCTTAACTTTAGTGATCGTACGGGAACTGGTGCTTCAACGAGATGTGGCCCTAACCCCATTAATCTATCTGTACATCTAGGCTTACAGCACCTGATATTCCAAAACGGTTAGCCATCTAGGTATTAACCATAGTCGACGTTGCTTAACTTCGGTGATCAGACAGAAACCGGTGTTTCAACGTTATGTGACCGTAAACCCATTATGCCATCTATACATCTAAGCTTACAGTAGCTGGTATTCCCAAGCGATCAACCATCTAGGTACTAATCTGGCTCGACGTTGCTTAACTTCGGTGATCGTACTTGAAACGGTCTTTCCATGTGATGTGGCCGTAATCCCTCCAGTTTACGAGCTTTTAATAATGGCTGATATGAACTTTATTCGGCATTAAGCCGTGTTTCTAATAAGGAACTAATCCGGTTCAGTTAGTGCAGGTGGTGGGTACAAATAAACAGGTTGTCCTAGAATAGACAAACCTGTTCAGAATAAATTAAATTTGTGGCTTGTAGACTTCACCCGCAAGGTTCCAGTTGTCAGTCACAAACATGGCTACTTTTAAAACTTTCTAATCTAAATCAGTCGACATATAGAAGTTACTAATCGACAAAACCAAGGAATTGGAATAAAATTTGGTCGTTTGCAGAATACATAGAAGACATCTCAGCTAACGAAAAAGGTATCACTTTTTTTGTTTTTACGGTTTATCACCCCTTTCTGGGTTATTTAAATACGGAACATATTGTAAGATTAACCCTCATATTTTTTACTACTTTTACTGTTAGTATCAACATCTTTTGTTTGTTTAGTTTTTAGTCGAATGTCTTGTGATAGCTCCAGTCTACGAACATTTAATAATAGCTGATAAGAATTACTTTAATAGTAATCAGCTATCCACAAACGTTATCTCTGCAGACATATGACAACGCATGATTAATAATATACCCAACCATCATCATATTATTTTATTTTCTTTGGTTTCTTGTGTGTACACATTTCGTTCCGTGTCCCGCCCAATGACCTAAAGTTAGAAATGGCATCATGACACTTTCCACTGACCAAGAAAAAAAATATCACAAACATATTTTACATTGATAAAGCCCTTCGTAAGATGTGGGCTGTACTCGTGAGAACAATCTTTTGTATTTTTTTAAGTCATGGATTTCCAGGAATCATTTCAATTAGTCTACTGGAATCTTTTCCAACCAATTCGAGGGCTCCAACTACAACTGGGATTGTTGATGTTCCCATGTGCCACATTTTCGAGATTTCGATTTCAAGATCTTTGTACTTTGATAGCTTTTTGAATATCTTCAAAGATCCATTGCAGTCTGCAGGGACTGCCATATCAATAAGGCGGCACTTTTTTTTGTCTGTGGTCTCTAATAACAATGTCTGGGCGGTTGGCTTTGATTGTTCTGTCAGTGTGTATTGTGTATTCCCATGTAATTGTAACAGGTCCTATCTCCGTAACCGGGTCTGGGTGGTGTTCATACCAATTCCTTTCAGTTTCCTTCCCGTAGAAGTTGTAGATTTTCCAGTGCAGATACTGGCCCACTATGTCATGTCGGGTTTTATACTCAGTGGGCACAAATATCATGCAAACTGATACAAGATGATGAATCGTTTCTGGATATTTATCACAGAACCTGCATTTGGGGCTAAGACAATATTTTAGCACGTGTGCTTGATAATTTCTAGTTAACAAGCACTAGTCCTTTGCAGCAAGGATAAAACCTTCCGTTTCAGCTTATAACCCTTCACTACGTAACCATTGATGGGTACGGGGTTTGTCTACACCAGCTTGTTTTGTACGGACAGAGTATTGGCCATGAAGCGGTTTATCTTGCCATCGCTTCTCTATCTGGTCCGTTGCATTTACTTTGGCTTTCTTTTTTATATATTTTGCAGCTTCACTGGAATAAAAAAACGCTTACTACTTTCATGTTCTCTGAACCATATCATCATCCAGTCTTCTGTAGTTTCCAGGTATCTTTGGAGGCCAATTGTTGTAGTTTTGTAGGACAGTTCTAGTTGAACTAATCCTCTGCCTCTTTCGGATCTGGGCAGATACAGACGATCAACATTAGGTTTGGGATGATGCATGCGGTAGCAAATGAGAAGCTTTCTCGTTTTGGCGTCCATTCGCTTAATGTCAGCTATGGTACAGTTAAGAATGTTAAAGCTGTATTGCACCACAGGGACAGCCAAGGTCTTTATGGCTGATATTCTGTTTTTTTGAATTCAGCTCAGTATTAAGTGCCAGGTGCATGTTTGGGAATAGTCCGGATTTGGTGACCTAGTGTCTCTTCGTTTTTGGAAGAGTTTGTTCCAATGACAGATTTTTCAGCCCAAGACTGGTTCCTCTCTGAGGTACGCAGCCCTTATTGGCCATTAATAAAGAGCGGGAATAAAAAAGAGTAATCAGTAATTTTTGAAGATCAAAGTTGCCTGGAAATCATGGAAACGGAAGAGAGTATTTGAGTAGAGGCTCCGTTTATTTATTATATCGCCATAGTTTTCTGGAAACCTGACCAAATGACCATGCAGTAAAATGTAGTTTGATACACAGGTTAGCACCAAGCAGTCGGTAGTTTACTAACATCCTGCCGACTAGTTCCCTATTGTCTACTGTCTTGCGTTTACCAAGAACGTTTTTTTTTACTAAAGCGACAAATGAAATCAAATCATTTCATTTGATTCATAAAGTTGACAAAATTTTCATCCTTGATGCATTTTTGAATGTCACTCCCATAAAAAAATACCTTGTTTCAGTTTTGTATATTCTAAGTTTAGTTAATGCACTGCAATTGTACTGAAAACATTGGCCTTCCTTCTCAAGCCCTTTCACAAATCACTTCATGAATCCTAATTTGATATGAAGAGAAAGGAAGAAATGATAACATTGTATTCGGATACAAAGTAAAAGAAGACTTTACTTTTGTCCCCAATTCATACTCAACACAACGCATTACGTATCAACTAGATTCAATAAAATTATATAAAACACCAAGCTTATCTTATATAGATTAGGGGTATAGATTATATAGACTGCGGTATGTGTAAAAATTACTCATGGACATATATGACATTTTTTAAAATCGGTATCACCCCATGCAAGGCAATAAAGCCACTAAGACAAAAAGAGTTACAGAGTGTGGAAGCATTAGGAACAGAAACATTAATAATGAACGGGAAAAGAAAAGAGCGATCAGGAGGAAAGAAATGGCGATTGATATTGCATTTAATTTTTGCAGATTAAAATTAGCTGGAAAGCATAGAGCTAGAAGGGAGTTCCAAAAGCGAGATTTTTTTTTTTTGATTTTTTTTAAAGCACCTAACCCCATCCAAAGCGGGAGTACCATTACTAGGGAAAAGAATGAGTATAGGAGTTGAGGAAAGGATAAAAATCAGAACGAAGAAGGATAAAAAAAAGAACGGGGAGCAAGCCATCAGAAGATATCGATTAATATTAGATTTAAATTTTCGAAGATTATAGTTATCAGGGAAGCAAATAAGAGGAAGGGATTTTCACTGTCGGGAAGTGCGAGAGAAGAAGCCGATGGAGTAGAAGAGACGGTACATTTAATTGTTTCAACAGTAAAAGGGTTGGGCCGAGATGCCAACCTAGTAGCACGCTTAAATTCATGGAGTCGGGGTACCAGTGAAAATAGCTGGTCAGAGCAGATGCATTGAAAATATTTATAGAAAAGACAGAGGGAATCCAATGCAAGAAAAGAAACTGTTAGTATTGAATTTACAGCTAAAGCCATCCAGCTTAGTTGTAAATTGATGAGATCTCGACGCCAGTCGAGTACCGTGATTAAATTCATAAAATCTGGGAACTATAGCGAAGAGCTCATCCGAACATTACCATGAAAGTATTTACAGAAAAGGTACAGAGACGCAATCTTGCCGGGGTGGTAAAGTGACAGAAGCTGAGCTGCCAGATCAGGACCGGTAATATCGCAGATTCTTCTTTGGATTTTATGAAGGAGCTCAAGGTAAATAGCAGGGGTATCGGGTCATATGTGGCAGCAATATTCTAAACGTAAGCGAATGGTAGACATATGTAAGATAAAAATAGTCTTACACGCACATGTATTCAAATTCAAAAAGCCATACAGTATTCGAACACCGGTTCCTGTACGATTTGGTTAGTACCTAGCAGTTGACAGAGATTTTTGAAGGGGTTCAAACGCAGGATTGCTTCCTCCTCCTAAAAAAGAAGATGCGGGTTGAGAAAATTTTCACCTCGTCGCAGAATTAAACACCCAGACATTAACCCCGTATTCTCCGAGACGACGTCCTTCCTTGAGCTGGTCTGTTGTTTATCATAAGCGATGTTTGCTGACTGCCAAAGGCCACTGGTAATTTAGATGATGCCTGGAGAGTCTCCATCGGGGAAAATTTCTTCCGGCGACGACGAGGCAAGCAGAATAAGAAATCGATAAAGGAAGCATGATCTGACCAACGAATGATGAGAGACTGGCGCGAAAAATGGAATCAAAATGTCGGACGAAGACGAATGAAACAACAAATAGTGAGGTAACCAATAAAGATGAGACTGTCTGTTGGATAAAGAAAGGTAAGGGATTTAGTAGTTCTGAAAAGATGGGACAAGAAAAGTAAACGAAAAAAGGAGAAGAAAAGAAAAATAAAAAAGAAAGAAAGAAAACTGAAAAGAAAAAACAAGGGATAGAGACACAAAGAAAAAGAAAGAAAACACAATAAACAAGAAAAAAAAAGAAAGTTTAAAAAAGAAAATGTACAAAAATAATAACAGCTAAACGAAAAAAAAGAAAAAACAAAAAGAAGGAAAAAAAGAAAGAAAGAAAGAAAGAAAAGTAAAAAGAGTGTCAAAGAAAAAGCAAGAGATAGAGAGAAAAAGAAAAAGAAAGACACAATAAACAAGAAAAAAAAAACGAAAGAAAGTTGAAAAATGTACAAAAAAAATAACAACTAATCGAAAAAAACAAAAACAAAAAAAGGAAAGAAAGAAAATTAAAAATAGTGTAAAAAAAAGCAAGAGATAGAGAGAAAAAGAAAGAAAACACAATAAACAAGAAAAAAAAACGAAGGAAAGTTAAAAAAGAAAATATACCAAAAGAATAACAGCTAAACGGAAAAAAACAAAAAGAAAGAAAGAAAGAAAGAAAGAAAGAAAGAAAGAAAGAAAAAGAAAGAAAAGTAAAGAAGAGAAATAAAAAGAGTGATAAAGATAAATAGAGGAAGAAAAATAATGAAAAGTAAAGATTGGCGGTGAGAGCTCATCAATTTACAATTGCGTTGGATATATGTAGCCGTAAGTTCTATGCTAACAGTTTCTTCTCTCGCGCTTCTTGCTTCCGGTTCCATGCTTTCCGGCCAACTTTAATCTGGAAAAATTTAAATGAAATATCAATCTCTATCTAATGTCCTCCTGGCTGTTCTTTTCTCTTTCCCGTCCTGGGTAAGACGATAAACTACATCCAACAGCAAGGCCTCTGATCAGGATGTTTTCAGGAGCATGGAACCACCTCTTAATTGCTGGTGTTCCCGGGTCAAGGTGGACATTGGAGCACCAGTAATTAAGGTAACCCGGAATGGTAGCACTTGTTAGGGTCCCAGATATGGGTAAATAGTTAATCCCCAAACTGGGGTCAAAAAACTATGAAAGTGTAAAAATAGGTTTTAGTACCAACAATATATTTTTGGAAAAAAATATTACCAGCAATAAAAATTTTGTCGGCATTAAATAGCCCATTGAAGTGTTGATATGGCGTAAAACAAAACAAACCAAAACATTTTAACTTTCTTCTAGTTACTAATGTTTCTGTTCCTAATTCTTCTATACCCTGTAACCCATTGCGTCTTAGAGGCTGTATTGCCTTCCTTGAACTGATACCGATTAAAAAAAAAATGCGAAAGAAAAAAAAAGAAATAGAAATACTAATATAAATAGAAAGAGCGTCAAAGAGAAAGAGAGAGAAAGAAATAGAAAAAGAAAGAAAACACAATAAACAAGAAAAAACAAGAGAAAAAAAGAAAAAGAATAACAGCTAAAAGGAAAAGAAAGAAAGAAAGAAAGTAAAAAAGAGAAATAGAAAGAGTACCAAAGAGAAAGAGACGAAGAAAAAGAAAGAAAAGTGAAGAAAGAACACAAAACGAGAAGTAAAAGACGAAAGAAAGAAAAATAAAGAGAGAGCGAGATAGAAATTCCGTTTGAAGAAAGTAAAACAAAAACTAAAGATGGAAAAAGAAAGAACAAAAATTAAAAAAAGAAAAAGAAAGAGAAAATAATAAGAAAAAGAAAGCTGCTCGACGGAAGAAAGACAAAACGAATGAGAGAAAGAGATTTAGGATGAAGGAAAGTAATGCAAAATTAAGGAAAGAAAGTATAAAGAGAAACAGAAAAGGTACCAAAGAGAAAGATAGAAAGAAAACGAAAGTGCAAGAAAGAAAACAAGAAAAAAAGAGAGAAAAAATAAACGAAAGAAAGCAAGACGAAAAGAAAAAAAGAAAACATGAAGAATAACTAATCGAAAACAAAAAAGAAAAGGAAAAAAGACAGAAAGAACGAAATGCAGACGATAGAAAATAAAACCAAATTAAAGAAAGAAAAGAAAAGAAAATGGAAGAAAATCAACATGGAAAAAAAAGAATAGAAAAAAAAGCAAAGAACAGAAAGATGGAGAAAGAGAAAGAAAAAGAAAGATAAAACAGATAAGAAAGAGAATGAAAAAAGAAAAAGAAATAAAAATTTAAAGAAAGAGAAATAAAAAGAAAAAAGATAAAGAAAGAATTTTTTTTTAAAGTTAAGCAGAAGCTAACAAATTGGAGGGAGATTAGAGAGAAGGAAAAGAAAGACAGAAACAAAAGAAAAAGAATGGAAAAAGGGAGACAAAAGGGAAAAGGCGATTATATAAATACGAAAGAAAGGAACAAACAAAACGAAAGAAAGAAAAAGAAAGAAAGGATAAGGAAATAAAACAGAGTCAAAAAAGAGAGACAGCGTAAGAAAGTAAGGAAAAAAGCACGAAAAGAAATAGAAAGAAAACCAACAATAGAAAAGAAACGGAAGAAATGAAACAAAAGAGAGAGAGGGGGAAAGAGAAAGAGAGAGACAAAGAAGCAACCGAATTTAAAGAAAGAAAGAGAAAGAAGAAAAGCAGAAAATAAACCAAAATGATAAAAAATCGATTTTCCGGAACCGTGACGGATTATGTGACTTGCCGGGTCAACAGAACTCATACCATTCAATAATGCACCTCTGATCACATCATTATGCATCGTATCGTTAAGACACAGCGATTCTTAGACACTTATATCAGAGTATTATTAAATGTAACGCCACTTGTGACCGCCTGGTGAATTAGTCTGGTAATTGTGTAAAATTCAAATGTCTGCTCGTAACTTTCCCCGGATTAAAAGATTATCAAGACTGTTGCCATATATGGTCTGGTGCCCCTGCTGTTCATCTCGAGGTCCTCGACAAAATCCAGAGACGGATATGCAATGTGATAGGTTCTGATCTGGCATCTCGTCTACAGACACTTATTCACAGACGTGATGTGGTTTCCCTGTACTTTGTTACAAATATTTTCATGCCAACTCTTCTGATGAGTGACTTGTACTTCATCTGCATGAATTTAAGCGTGCTACTAGGTTGGCATTTCGGTCCCACTCTTTTACTGTCGAAACAGTAAAATGTAACCACCTCTTCTACTCCAACAGCTTCTTCTCTCGCACTTCCCGACAGTGGAACTCCCTTCCTCTTACTTGCTTCCCTGATAACTACAATCTTCGGAGATTTAAATATATTCTAATGTAATGTAAATCAACATATTCATATGCATTGATCCTGATCCCCGTCCTTCTCTATGTCCTTTCCTCAAACACACCTCTTTACTCTTGCTCTCACTCTCTGTAGCCCCTTGCGTGCAGGTGGCGATCCCGCCTTGCTTGGGGTGAAATGCTTAAAAACATATACCGTGATATCGTTTTTATGCCACTGCATACTTTCGATTCAACATTCTGTTACGTTTTTATAGTTTGTAGATCAACGTTGTCTATTGAATGCTGCAGATCGACGGCCTTTGTTGCGATAAAAAAGCACCTCTCAATTTCTTTCCCACCGTAGCTTCCCTCTGTCTTTTCTACAAATATTTTCATGGCAACGGCTCTGACGAGCTATTTTCCCTGTCACCACGAATACATGAATTGAAGCGTGCTACTAGATTGGCATTTAGGTCTCACCATTTTACTGTTGAACTAGCTAGATGCAAACGCCACTTCTATACGTAACAGTTTCTTTTCTCGCACTTCTCACCCGTGGAACTGCCTCTCGATTCCTTGTTTCCTTGATAACTATAATCTTCAGAAATTTAAACGCAATGTCAGTCGCCATATTCTGCGTTCTTGTACCCTGCTCATTTTTTCCATTCCTCAGTCCTTCCCATTCGCAGTCTTCTCATTCTCTTTCCTGTTCATTCTTTGGCGTCTTAGTGGCATTATCTCCTTGCTTGGAGTGAAATGATTAAAAAAATAAGCAAAAAAAATGAAGATGAAAATAAATACAAATAATAATAATTATTGTTATTGACATGTCTGTCCCTGCAGACAATGATGTATTTTTGAAGCTCTTCAAAATACAAGGATCTTGAAGTGGAAATCTAAAAGTATGTGCCACATTAAGACATCAGTAATTACAGTTGTAGGTGGAGCCTTCGAATATCAATCAATGGAAAAGGTTCCGATAGACTCATTGAAGGGGTCGCTGGTAGCCCACGCAAAAGATTGTACTCACAAGTACAGCCCACATTTTATGAAGGGCTTTATCTATGTAAGCTGTATGCGATCATAAGTTTTATGGGTTTTCTTTTAACAAAAATTGATCAGTGGGAGGTATCATGAAGCCATTTCTGGCCTGGTTGGGACCCGGAAGGAAATGAATATACAACAGAAATCAAAGGTAGAAATAATAATAATAATAATAATAAGGAAACTGAAAGAAACTGGTATGAACACCACCCAGACCCGGTTACGGAGATAGGACCTGTTACAATTCTATGGGACTACACAATACACACTGACAGAACAATGAAGGCCAACCGACCAGATATTGTTATTAAAGACCACAGACAAAAACGGTGCCTCCTTATTGATATGGCAGTCCCTGCTGACTGCAATGTATCTTTGAAGATATTCAAAAAGTTGTCAAAGTACAAGGACCTTGAAATAGAAATCTCGAAAATGTGGCAGATGGGAACATCAACAATCCCTGTTGTAGTTGGAGCCCTAGGAAGGGTTGGAAAAGATTGCAATAGACTAATTGAAGAGATTCCTGGAAGTCCATGCCTCAAGGAGATACAAAAAAATGTTCTGACAAGTACAGCCCACACCTTACGAAGGGCTTTATCTATGTAATTTAATTTTTTTTTCTTGGCAGTGGAAAGTCATGACGCCATTTCTAACTTTAGGTCCCTGGTCAGGACCCGGAAAGAAATGGGTAAACGCCAGAAATCAAAGAAAATAAAAATAATAATAAAACAATCTTAGTATAAAGACCTGGAAATTGAAATAGAAAAAATGAATTGAAAATTGAAAACAAGAATAGTACCAGTCATAGGAGGTGCGCTTGGAATGATAAAAAAAGAAACACAACAACACGTTGAAAAAATCCCTGGAAATTCCAGCTTAAGAGAAATACAAAACGTCTTAAGAGATTATTTGTATTTCTCTTAAGCTTAAAAGATTAAGTTTAAGAGAAATACAAAAAAAGCCCACACACTGGGAAGAACTTTGTCCATGTAAATGTTATGAGAGGTAAAAAACAAATCATGAAATTTAGCCATAACCACCCAGGGCTATCTGTCTTAGGTCTTTCCGCAGATTTGGTTGGTAGTGTGAGCATAGCAGAAATCGAAATAATAATAATAATAATAAACAATAGATCATTCTAGAAATTCGGACACATTATTATCACGATAACACCATATATTTTATAGGACCCAATACAAAGCCGTTGTAATGTAAGGGTAGCAGTCAACATTTAAATAGGGTATCTTTCCCCATAGGAGATAGTATATTAAGTTGTTTTTTTTTTTTTGTTTGTTTTTTTTTTTTCTGTAGATCATATATTTTTGAAAAATCACGAAAACTTAGAAGGAGATGAACAGATCAGAATAGGGATATTGATATCAACAGCCAGAGCTGGATAGATAGATAGATAGATAGATAGATAGATAGATAGATAGATAGATAGATAATGAAATGGATGAGATAGATAGATAGATAGATAGATAGATAGATAGATAGATAGATAGATAGATAGATAATGAAATGGATGAAATAGATAGATAGATAGATAGATAGATAGATAGATAGATAGAGATAATGATAAATGGATGAAATGGATGAGATAGATAGATAGATAGATAGATAGATAGATAGATAGATAATAGAAATAATGAAATGGATAGATAGATAGATAGATAGATAGATAGATAGATAGATAGATAGATAATGAAATGGATGATAGATAGATAGATAGATAGATAGATAGATAGATAGATAGATAGATAATGAAATGGATGAAATAGATAGATAGATAGATAGATAGATAGATAGATAGATAGATAATGAAATGGATGAGATAGATAGATAGATAGATAGATAGATAGATAGATAGATAGATAGATAATGAAATGGATGAAATAGATAGATAGATAGATAGATAGATAGATAGATAGATAGATATGATTACACTTTTTGATTGTTTGGAAACAGAGAGAGTGTGCGTGGGGGGTGTAAAGATTCGGGTTAGGAAAAGGAGAGCGGTTATGGATTCAGTTGTAAATGAGGTCACCTTTAAAAAAGGTGAAACTGGTTCCAGCGAACTCGGAAACGCTGGAATATGCCAAATACGTTTTCAGAAATAGACTAAATACGAAATTTATGACAACGATTTTTTTTTTAAGGTGAACTTTAAAATGTTTAACAATTTTAATTATGATATAAAACAACTCAGTCCGGAGACGCAAAACCAACTTAATAATAATAAAAAAAAAACCAAAAACAGACAGATCCATTCGGTATTGTTTAAAAGTATCGTTTCAGCTTGTTTAATAGAATTCTTGCCGTCTAAATTCACATCACACACACACACACACACACACACATATATATATATATATATATATATATATATAGGTTGCGAGGGTTAAATTGTCTAAATTACTCAAAAATGAAAATAACATTGAGTTAAATAATACATTTTAGATGCATCACGGGTAGTCTTCAGTGATGCACTGTTCTCATCGCCGATTTCGGGTTTTGCATCATATCGGCTCCAACAGCAACCCCGACTTGATTCTAGACGAGTCAGGTCGCCTCCTTGAAAGCGTCGAGCTACGCACCGCGACATTGCAAAAATCTGCCTAGTAAAGCCGGACTTCGACCGGTCTTATTGACATGTGTCAGTCGGGGACAGTCAATGAAAACAGGGCTTTTCACGTTCCTCGCCTACATAGTGTTGTCTTTTTACTTTATCCGATTTAGCTTTGATTTGAACGGATATATTTAAAAAAATTACACAAAAATATCTTGAGTGAATTTCTTCAATAAAATCGCCATAGGCTTTAACCACGGCCTTCATACAACTTTGGAATCTCCTGCATCTCTCAGTACCGTCTCCTTGTTTAAGTTGGTGAATGTTGCCATAATGCTGGCCTTCAGTTCATCTTTGGTGTTACAAGGAGTTTTCCTGATCTCTCGCTTAACTGTGCCCCACACATAATAATCAAGGAGGTTGCAGTCTGGGGAGTTATGTGGCCAGATGTAAGGGGTGATATGATCGAAGAAATTGTCTGACAGTCATGATTAGGTTCTCCTACTTGTGTCTCATGTGCAGAGTCCTGTTGCTAGACATAAGGTCTCCCAGCAGCCACCCTCTTGACCCAAGGCAGCACTACCTCTTCAAAGCACTTGTTGTAGGCCTCTGTGTTGAGTCTGAGGCCATAACCAAAACATTCTGGAGTTCTTTTCTTATCAGAACGATCATAGTGAGTTTTTCGAACGGGCATACCTTCGGAATCAGCATTAGACTAAACCAACTCTTTCCAAGTCCTCTGCACTGTCCTCAGATCAACACCCAAACACTCTGAAATGTCCATATTTGATCTTCCGGTGCCAATGCCAAGCAGCAGAGCATACCGTTTCCAAATGTCTGGCGGAGTGAATGTTGGTACTGTTTTTTTTACAGACGGTGCCCAACTGAACCCTCCGTACTGTGCAGTCGACAAAATCAGGAACAACACGCATGCGCGAAATTAGAAATATATAATGGTGACAATTTACCCATCGCAGCCTGCATATATGTATTTATGTACTATGTAAGTAAATGTTAATTTAATACATTTCCTCTATCAGAACTCATATATATTTAATGACTTTAACAGTTTATTGTTTCGGGAATGTAAGAAAATATAAGGGACACCCACTCGGGAATTAATACGTGTCTTATTAGGTTTCAAGGCGTGTTTGTGTCGCTTGCCGGGTAAATATGATTTGATGCGAGCGTGGGCGTGGGTATATTAATTTACCCTTCCGAATGAAGGTGTTCTTCAGTCGATCAACAATGGCACCCTTTCAAGTCGGCAAATACAGAGTTCAATCATATATTACGCTTGCTTGTTAGACGAGCTAATGTTGTTATTTACTGAAGAATTAAATCCACTCATAAATGCTTTTCAACACAAAGGAAAGCGAAACAAAGGGAAAAAAATGATACTCTCAACGCGCGCATGCGCAGAAGAAACTAACACAAAAGATGTTTAACTCAGAAGCAGACATCTTTTACAAAGAATTTTGTTTGTTTGTTTGTTTCTCATAATTTTGGAGTTTGCATTAAAAATCAAACTTCATTCTCTCGCAGACTTCCTTCCTTCACTTGTTCGTTACATAAAAGCGAAGGGAAGTTTGAGAAAAAGTGGGTGGGAGGACATAGCGAGTTCAATTCCCAAGCAGGATGACAGATTTAACAAACAAATAGTGCGAAAATTTACGTTTTATTAATTAGGTTTTGTAAATAAAGAAGAATATGCAATATTATTGGCCCTGACTTGGCATCTCGGCTTCAATCACTTTCCGACCGACATAACGTAGCTTCACTGCGTCTTTTCTATAAATATTTTCATGGTAATTGTTCCCGTGAACTTTCCTTTATAGTTTTAGTTTTATTACTAATCTTATTTTTCTTTAGTTTCTTGTAAATAGTTTTTTGTATGCATATTGTAAATACTCATTGGGGTTAACTTTTAGAATTTTTGTTTTATTCTCTTCCCCCCACAGACAACGAACTGTAAATATGGGGACTAGTTAGTATTTTCATAGAGACAAAGAGGTATTATGGTGATTGTAGTAAGAAAGGTACGAATGAATGTGTTGTTTTGGTGTAAGGAATATTGTTTCGTAAGATTGGGTCAGTGTTTGCGGCTAGCTAAGTTATAGTTAAGACAGAAGACCGTCCTTTCCCCAATCCCCTTTTCGGCCTTGTGCCACATTTCTGTATTAAACAGAATAAATATCACTTTCCTTTATAGTATTGCAATTCATTTTATATATTCATTGAGACTTCAATATATTATGGCAGCTGTAGTAAGGGTGGAAAGTAAGAATATGTTATTTTGGTGTAAGGAATACTGTGGTATGCTTCCATCAGTAATTGTGGCTCGATAAGTTTAAGATAAGACAGATTGAAGACCAACCTTCCCTTACCCTCCCCCTTTTTGGCTTTGTGCTACATTTTCGTATTATAACAAAATAAATATTACTTTCCTCTATGTCACGTAGACTCGATGAATTTAACTGCAGATTGGTGTCGAGGTCTTATCATTTTAGGTTTGAACTGGCTAGATGGAACAGTAAGTTCTATGCCAAGATTTTCTTCTCCCGCATATCACATTTGTGGAACTCCTATGCGGCTTCTTGTTTTAGAGTCAACTTTGATCTTCAAAGACGTGAATCGTTATATTCTGCCTTCTTAAGGAGGCACGGTGGAGTAATGGATAGCGGCTTGGATTGAGGAATCGGAGAGCCGAGTTCGAATTCCAGTTGAATCCATTACATTCACTTACTTGGGAAAGGTGTGAATCCTCTTTCTTCTCCCTCCAGCTGGACAGACTGGGTTCTATAGCCTTTGATGGCAACTGGTCTAGGAGAAGGAAAACTCTGAATTCAAACCTGCTCTTAGAGGAGGGTGAATGGAGTCACTCTGAGCCTTGGTTGGCGTTCCATTTAGTGTTGGTGTCACGATAAAAACACCCTTGATAGCCCTAGCGAAGCATCAAGAATTCAGCTATTTGACAAGATTATGAACTACACCAATCAAAGTATTGGTGAGTTCAATCTTGGCTGAGGCCGCAAGATGATGATGAAGTCCTGTTTTCTTATTGTTCACTATTTCTTAATAACGTCTTTGTTTTCTCATGTTCTCTCGCAATCTCTTACCCCCATTGCATCTTAGTGGCTTCATTGCCTTCCTTGAGGGAAAATGATTAATAAAATACGGACAAAGTATTATTTAGGTTCTACCGTATTCGCCAGATGGGGCCGGCATATAACCTGAAGACTTTTGAAAATCTGAACGACTGACATAAAACGACAAAAAAACGGACAGTAATTATCAGCGATATATGATTTTGTTTTTTCATTCTGCATGACCTTTTGACAGAATGAGCTAGTACACATACACGCTAGATGGCGTGACAGACTCAGGAATATCGGACCTAGCTCGACCGAATAAATATATATGCAAGCTGCGATGAATAAATTGCCGCGTAAATTACGCAAAAATGAAAATAACATTGACATTTCATTTTAACAGATATATTTAGCAAAATGACATAGAAATATCTTGAAATACTAAAGACTAAATTTATTCAATAAAATCGCTATTAGCTTCAACCACAGCCTCAAGACAACTTTAGAATCTCCTGCACATCGTCTGGGCGGTCTCCTTGTTTACGTAGGTGAATGCTGCCATAAACCTTCCCTTCAGTTCATCTTTGGTGTTACAAGGAGTTTTGTTGGTTTCTCGCTCAATGCTCCCCCGACATAATAATCAAAAGGGTTGCAGTCTGGGGAGTTAGGTGGGCAAATGTTTTAAGTGATATGGTCGCAGAAATTGTCTAGCAAACATAACCGGCTTCTTCTTTTGTGCAGCATGGTACAAAGTCTTGTCGCCAGAGATATGGATTTCCAGCAGCCATACTTTTGGCGCAAAGAAACACTATCTGCTCAAGGCACCGTGTTTGAGTGTGGGACCCTCACCAAAACATTCTGGAATTCCTTTCTTATCGGAATAATCGGAGTTACATTTCTAAGCTGCCGTACCTTCGGAAATGCCATTGGACTCAACCAACTCTTTCCGAATCCTCTTTACACTCTACAGATTGAAACCCAAGCACCCTGAAATGTTCGTATTGGAGCTTCCGGTGCGAATGCCAGCCAGTACAGCATGCAGTTTCCAAATTTCTGGCAGAGTGAATTGCGTCATGGTGCTTTTTCACAAAATCAAAAAACGCTCATGCGCGAAATTTAAAATATAAAATTGCGACAGTTTACCCATCACGTCCTATATATATATATATATATATATATATATATATATATATATATATATATATCATTATTTAATTAAAAATATGATTCCAACGCTACATAAGAGTTCTCATGACTCAAAACAAGAGTCGAAAACTTCAATATAATTATTTTAATTAAATTGAATTAAAGTACCAAGCTGTGTTCCATTTTTGGGAATCGAGCACTATTTTTAAAAATAATAAAAAAATACTAAAGAACTTTGGATTATTTACCTAACGAGTCCTTTCCTATTTTCTATATATTTTTACACACACACACACACACACACACACATATATATATATATATATATATATATATATATATATATATATATATATATATATATATTACAATGAATCATTCATATAAAAAAGTAGATTAGTTAATGATATAAAATGGCGAAATCCCTTCGCAAACAAAATTTTAAAGTTGCATTAACCTACGAACCACTTGATGAATGGTATGATCCTTGTTTATATCATTTTGATGACAATCTGCACCAATTTTTATTTTGCAATATTTTTTTTACTTTTTTTTCCATTTAATTTTAATCAATCCTTGTGCTAGTTCAAGACAGTCTTGATAATCTTCATCTACATCATGATAATCTTCATCATTCCCTCGACTGTTTCGATTGTCGGACGTGGGGGAACCCAAGAGCAGAATAAACAGACAACCTCCTCCAGGATGATCCGTTGGCGGTGGTTCTCAAGAGTTCCGACCATTGTCGTGTCCGTCCCATCCTTTGATGCTGTCTGACCAGCTCTTGTGTCTCCATCTTCGCTTGCGTCCGCCATCAACAGTGCTTTGAATGATTTTTTTTTCCGGAGGCTGTTATGCCGTGTGACGTGTCATGACCATGCCATCTCCCGATACTTAATAGGCTCACGAGACCTTTGAGTTTGCTCCTTACATAGTCATTGGTTTTGTGCTCCCAGTAGAATATAGGGAAGAGTTTTCTCAGGCATTTCTTCTCGAACGCGTGGATCCTTTTTTCCTGCCTCAACCAGGAATGTCCAAGTCTCACGCCCATAGAACAGGATGGATAAGACCAGAGATTTGTCGAGCTTGAACTTGTTCTGGGAGCTGATGTTACTTTTGGATCGCCTCACCTACAGCAGCGATGCCTGGACTGATAAATATAGATAGATATCGAATCTTTTTATAATGGATACAGAGTCGAGTAATAGATAGCGGCTCGGTCTGAAGAATTGGAGAGCAGAGTCCAAATTCAAGTCAAGTTCATTAGATTCACTTACGTGCTTGGGAAAGGTATGTATCCATCGCTTCTTCCCCCTGCTATGGGTAAATATCAGAATAGACTGGGCGATGAATTTAAAACAAAACTGAGGAGAGGGTCCAGTTTACGGACCATATTCCGTGGTCGTCAGCTGTCGGTCAAAAGCTGGAAGAGGAGATGGGCGCTGCCAAGCATTCTGAAAGAAGTCTGTTTCTGCTCTAAGCCCCCTCCCATGCAGTCGATGGATAAAGCAAATAAAATAGTTCATTATATTAATGTGATATATAAACACTGTTTTTTTTCAACAGGAATTATCTATTGTCAGAAGCTGTCTGCTCGAGGACTCTAGGGAAGAATAAATAAGAAGCAATAAGTAGTTTTATAATTTTTTTTTCTTTCTTTCTTTTTTCTTTCATTTCTTTCTTTCATTCTTTTCTTACTTTTCTTTCATTTCTTTTTTCTTTCTTTTTCTTTCTTTCATTTTTTTCCTTCTTTCATTTTTTCTTTTTTTCTTTCTTTTTTCTTCTATAAAACATTCTTTCCTTTTTTTCCTTTTTTTCATTTCTTTATTTCTTTTACTCTCTTTTTCTTTCATTCCATTCTTTCTTTTCTTTCATTTCTTTTTTTCTTTCTTTCATTTCTTTCCTTCTTTCTTTTTATTCTTTTCTTTTTCTTTCTTTCTTGTCTTTTCTTTCTTTTTTCTTTTTCTCCTATAAAACTTTATTTTCCTTCTTTCTTTTCGTTCTTTTCTTTCTTCCATTTCTTTCCTTCTTTCTTTTTTTCTTTCTTTCTTTCTTTTTTCTTCTATAAAACATTAATTCCATGTTTTTTTTTTGTTTTCTTTCATTTCTTTATTTCATTTACTTTCTTTTTTCGTCCTTTTTTTTTCTTTCTTCCTTTCATTTTTTTTCGGTTTCTTTTATTTCCATTATCTGTAGTTTTTCTGCTTTTCATTTACTCTTTCTTTTTCTTTCTTTGATTCATTTATTTCTTTCTTTTTCTTTCTTTCTTTCATTTCTTTCTTTCTTTTTCATTCTTTCTTTTTCTTCCTTTTCTTTCATTTCTTTCTTTCTTTTTCTTTCTTTCTTTTTCATTCTTTCTTTTCCTTCCTTTTCTTTAATTTATTTCTTTCTTTTTCTTTCTTTTTCATTCTTTCTTTTTCTTCCTTTTCTTTCATTTATTTCTTTCTTTTTCTTTCTTTCTTTTTCATTCTTTCTTTTTCTTCCTTTTCTTTCATTTCTTTCTTTCTTTTTCTTTCTTTCTTTTTCATTCTTTCTTTTTCTTCCTTTTCTTTCATTTATTTCTTTCTTTTTCTTTCTTTCTTTTTCATTCTTTCTTTTTCTTCCTTTTCTTTCATTTCTTTCTTTCTTTTTCTTTCTTTCTTTTTCTTTCTTTAATTCATTTCTTTCTTTTTCCTTTCATTTAATTCCTTTTTCCATCTCTTTTTCTTTTTCTTCATTTTCTTTCATTTCTTTCTTTTTCTTTCTTTCTTTTTCTTTCTTTCTTCTTGTTCTTTCTTTTTCTTTCTATAAAACATTTCTTTCTTTCTTTCTTTCTTTCTTTCTTTCTTTGTTTTTCCTGTCTTTCTTTTTTTTTTTTTTTTTCTTGTTCTTTCTTTCCAGTGCTGAAGATATGCAAATATTCAGGGAAGGCTTTTAAGTTAATAATAAAATAAATTTCTATATAGGATTTTGACATGTTAGATCTGTAATTATTAAAGTGAAATGAAAATTTTGTTTGATATATTTAATAAATTCTTCTTCCTCTTCCCCCTCCTCCTCTTCTTCTTCTTTGTGCCATGTCCCTATCGGACGTTGGCGATCATGGCTCTCCACAAATTCCCGTGCTTTTTAGATTTTAATAATTTTTTGTTACCTCTTTTAAACCTTTTTCCCACCATCCATTTTTACTCAAGTTCGTTAGGTAGATTATGTCTTGCTTTCCTCTGTCCCTCCTCTCTTCAATCTCACCTGTGAGTATAAAATTTCCAAACCCTCTTTCCTCATTATGTGCCCTGGAAATTTCAAGTAGTCAAGTAGAAGTGTCCTTTTTGTTACCATTTTCTCTAAAACTTCGTCGTTGCTCACATGTTAGGTCCATGGTATTCTCAGCATCCTTCTGTAGAACTACATTTCTGTCGCTTCAAGTCTCTTCTTCATCTTTAAGGAGATCGCTCAGCATATAAGAGGACTGATATGACATAATATTTCAGTAATCTTTTCTTTGTTTTAGCGATGTTTGTCAGCTTTTTAATACATTGCTTAGATTTTGGAAGGCATCTTTGACTATTCCAATACGCCTTCGTATCTCGCTGTCACACATTCCATCCTCTTCCCAGATATTGAAATTGTTGTACTTGTTTGATTTTAGTATCGCCAATTTGTAACTTACATGTTGGGCAGCTCTTTTTGCTAACAACCATGCATTCTGTTTTCTTGCAATTGTTGTTTAGTCCTTTCTTCACTCTTTCCTTCACTACTTTCTGTAGGAATTCTTGTAGTTTACTTTCTGTGTCTGCTATCAACACTGTGTAATCTTAGAACTTCTGATTTTCTCAAAATCGCCTCACTGTTGAATAAGTCCAGTGAGGAGAGTCAGTCTTGAGAAGAGTCATCCAGTGAGGAGAGTCATCCAGTGAGGAGAGTCATTCTTGAGGAGAGTCATACAGTGAGGAGAGTCATTCTTGAGGAGAGTCATACAGTGAGGAGAGTCAGTCTTGAGGAGAGTCATCCAGTGAGGAGAGTCATTATTGAGAAGAGCCATACAGTGAGGAGAGTCACCCAGTGAGAAGAGTCATTCTTGAGGAGAGTCATACACTGAGGAGAGTCACCCAGTGAGGAGAGTCATCCAGTGAGGAGAGTCATCCAGTGAGGAGAGTCATTCTTGAGGAGAGTCATACAGTGAGGAGAGTCATCCAGTGAGGAGTGTCATTATTGAGAAGAGTCATACAGTGAGGAGAGACACCCAGTGAGGAGAGTCATTCTTGAGGAGAGTCATACAATGAGGAGAGTCATCCAGTGAGGAGAGTCAGCCTTGAGGATAGTCATACAGTGAGGAGAGTCATTCTCGATGAGAGTCATCCAGTGAGGAGAGTCAGTCTTGAGGAGAGTCATCCAGTGAGGAGAGTCATTATTGAGGAGAGTCATTATTGAGGAGAGTCATTATTGAGAAGAGTCATACAGTGAGGAGAGTCACCAAGTGAGGAGAGTCATTCTTGAGGAGAGTTACACAGTGAGGAGTGTCATCCAGTTAGGAGAGTCATACAGTGAGGAAAAACGTTCTTAAGGAGAGTCATTTTTAGGAGAGTCATTCTCGAGAAGAGTTATACAGTGAAGAGAGTCATCCAGTGAGGAGAGTCATCCAGTGAGGAGAGTCATTCTTGAGGAGAGTCAACCACTGAGAAGAGTCATCCACTGAGGAGAGTCATCCTTGTCTCGCACCCCTTTCTATTTTTTGTATTTTTACTGAATTCATTTTCTATCCTTATCCAGGCGGTTTGCGCCTATTATAATTTCTGGATTATTCTAATGCCCTTCCCAAATATGTCAAGCTTACCTATCAGTTCCAACATTTCTTTGTGACGTAATTTGTCAAACCCCTATTGCATAATCTATAAAACAGTGGTACACACATTTCTTCATTTGTATTGCCTTTTCTGCTATCATTCTAACCATAAATACTACATTCCTTGTCCCAGTGTCTTTAACGAACCCGCACTTTTTTGCCCTATTTCTGGTTTAATTCATCTGTGCGATCTATGCATCAGAATTAGGAAAAGTTTTATTATACAGCCCATTAAGCTGATTGCCCAATGGAGTTCACGTTCGTTTGTATCTGGGTTCCCCAATGAAATTTTATAATAAAGTAACTTTCAATTAATTTCTGTGTATTTTTTTGTATTTGCAGCGTCACTATAATCATAATTATTAGAATGAATGTAAGTTTCGATATATCTGTTCCGCAAAACCTAATCGGGGTGTCGTATCGCTGCTTCCATAAACTACTAATACACACACACACACACACACACACACACACACAAACACACACACAAACTTATATATATATATATATATATATATATATATATATATATATATATATTAGTTTTATTTCAGTCTCATTTGAGACCATCTTCATTGAGGTGCATATCTATAGATCTGTTATGTTTTAGCATCGTAAATTCATTTTTACACCTATGCAAGGGATGTAAAAACTTATGTCAGTTTTTTAAAGATTTAAGAAAGAATTAAGATGTTTTTATTGTATTATTTAATTTAGTATTTTTTTAAATAATACTTTGCTGCTAAAAACTTTGTTGCTATACTTGTATTTGAATTGGGCCGCAATTCTCTTATATAAAGGAATTCCCGAATTTTAAGTTTTTGCTTAGATAGATAGATAGATAGATAGATAGATAGATAGATAGATAGATAGATATTTTTTTGTCTTCGTAAATTGTCCAGTCCATCCCGGGTTGAAATTTTGTAAACTTGAGCAATCCGTCAAAGACATAATATATTTTACGGGAAAAAAAACATATTTCCCGGGGCATCT